ACATGCAGTGCTGCCATCTTCTGTTTCAGTCCGTTATTACACTCTTAAATCCTGCTACTTATTCCTGCGTCTTTCAGGATCTTACAAAGCTTCAAACGACGCATCGACTATTAAATCAGCCGTCGATGATTTTGATAGTCGACTAATCGTGGCAGCCCTATTTATCATAGTTGGAATTAAATAATAATAATGATAATAAATAAGCACTAAAAGTTTGTTCTTGAGCTTATTTGATTTTTTAAATGCGATTTATTTTGTCCACTTCGGTGCTCTGTAGACGGCCTCAGACACAGGCTGTTCCCTTTGCTGTGCCTGGATCTTTGCCCACAGGATGAATCTAATAAACGCTCTGTGATGTTTTCCGGCAGCTGGAACAAATCGATTGAAGCTCGATTCATGTAAAGTGCAGATTCTCGGGTCCTGCGGGACTCCCTGGAGCCTCCGCTCAACATTTATTCATCAAATTAAAGTCAGTACTTGTAAAAATGAAACGTGCCAGATGCAGAAAACACTCAATAATGAGGAGGTGACGGACGGCGGTGAGAAGAGGAGGAGGACGCGGTTTCTTTAAAGGCGTTTAACGGCAGCCGAGCTTAGATCTGTGCAGATCCCCGCTAAGACGCTCTCCGGGCAGACCCGGCGTCGCTGACCTGCTTGGCAGCTCGTCTGGAGGAAGATTTGGGGCCTAATGACTAAAAAGGAGAGCTCATGAATATACAGCTGTCCTTCAGCGCCGCCACGGCCCCAAAATAACTCGGAGAATTTGGGAATGTGGAGCACTTCAATCACTTAATTCCACTCAGTGAAAGGAGGAATTAGCTTTTTGTCGTCTCCCCCGTGAGGCTCTCAGACGAGCCGAGGACGACGGCCTCAGCAGCTCTCAGAGTGGCTGCTTTTTAAACACCAGCAGCAGAAGAAAAGACGCCTGCTGTCACTCCCATGAATTTAAGTCATGTTTTATTCACAATCGGTCCAAAAAATGATGTTTACATGTTTACATGTCTGCAGGTTTGGCAGCAGAGTGATGCAGACGATGATGTACATCAGCTGCATTAGTGAGTCAGTGCAGGCGTGTGGCTAACGTTAGCGGTGTTTCCTGATTTTAAAGTTGATTAAGAGTAATGCGTCGATGCAACTTGATGAAAACACAGATTATTGTCTGTGATGAAAAGAATCCTGTTTCAGTCGAGGGAACCAGAGCAGCACCGATCCGGTGTCTCACAGATGTTTCAGCCAATCACAGGAAGTGAAACGCCAGCATTAACCTGTAACTGAACTACGCTGTGGACACGTGACTGCTCACTGCACCATCTTGTGGTGCAAAGTGGTATCACACCAAAGTACAGCACAGCCCTTTGTCCACACTTCGGCTGACATCACTGCGGCACAATGCAGACATTTTCCTTTCTGCTCACTTTGGAAGGTTTTTAACTATTTTTAAAGACACATATTTAAAATAAGCAGCCCTAACGACACCAGCGTTCTCATTTAGCCTGTCATTAGCAACCTGCCAAACTTTGCTGAGACCTGTGAGAGCTTCAGAGGTCACGAGTGGGGTTCTCGCAGACCCACGCTTCCTGCTGGAGAATATTTACAGCTCGTCTCAGGCTTTGAGTTCATTTTAATGATTAAAATCACAGATTTATCATTTTCTTTCAGTTTGTTCATCATTTCCAGGAAGCGCGTCGTAACGCTGGTATTGAAACGCGCGGTACAAACAAACTTTATTATCACTGTTATTATCTGTTTGTGTCTGAGCTGGAAAATCGTTTTACTGCACGTCTGACGTGTTCTTCATTCCCTGATCAAAAATCTACAGATTTCAAGTCTGAATATTTTCCAACAACACTGCAACTTTAGAAGCTATTACACAGATACGACAATAACAGCTCCACGGTTAATTATTCTCTCAGCTCTCACTCACGTGTCTTATCTGCAGTCCGGTGTTGGGATGTCAGCCTCAGATGTAACGATCAGTGATGATGATGATGATGATGCTGCTGCTCTGGTTTCACTTCAGAAACAGGACTTTAAAGCTTCTAACTCACAAACTTTTTCCCATCACACCCTCTTCTCTCAAAGTATTGTTCTAATTTTCACTCTCCACATTCCTCACAGCAGCAGCAGCTCCATCAGTTCAGTGAATCAACAGTAAATCATCCAGACTGGGAGGTGGTCTTCCTCCTCCTCCTCCTCCTGTTCTTTCAGCACATTATTTTCCCATGAATACTGCTGAATAATGTTCTTTAATTTAAACCTCAGTGGCCGCCCCGGCACACTACATAACTCACATTTCCTGCAGGACAGTGAGAGCTGCTGCACCTCCAAAACTTCCCTGAGAGGTGGAGATGCTTCAGCCTGATGGAGCTGCAGTGAAACCAGACCTACAGGTTGTTTTACTCCTATTAAACCTGCTTCTGTTCACGATGATTCATTAAACCACAATCGGTGACCACCCATGTGTGGAACATGAGAGCAGCTAGTTTTGTAGTTTTTGGCTCTGAAATCTCATTTGTTACACGAAAATCTAAGAAACCACTCATTCCATCGCATTTTGTCGCACCGCGCCAAACTCCTTTTAAAAATATGGCACTTTAATGTTTCTTTGCTTGCTAAGCACAGCACACAAGGTAAATAATATTAAAGACATGCCGTTTTAGAAATCGGGAACAGCGCTTTAATTCGGCTGGTTCAGTTCCAGCCCACACTTACATTTCATAACCAAACAGATCTCTTTAAAAGTCCCAGGCTGTTGTTCCCGGTGATGAAGAGCAGCAAGGATCCACGGATGGAGTTGGGATCGATGACATAAAGATGAGGACCGGTGTGTACGCGGTGTGTGAGTGACCCCGACACACGGAGTCGGGATCAAACCCGAAACGTGCGCAGAAGCAGCGTAGCAGTGCGGCGGAAAACCCGCAGTTTTTAACCGGAGTCCGGCGCGCCGCCGGGGCTACATTACATCACTTCTAGCAAACTTCACGGGAGAACAATGAGGGCGAAGCAGCTTCGGCGGGCCGGGCTGACCCGGGCACAGCCTCCAGCTGGCAGCACGGAAGCACGGACTCCGGCCGGACGGGGAGCCCGGCAGCGCCAGCGGGTCCCGGTTGTGCCCGGTACCGACAGCCTGGTGACACTGCTGCGTTCCGAGGCTCGAGCTGAACACGCAGGCGAGAAAGCGGAAACACGGAGGCATGAAAGGAGCTCACCTGTGGCCGGAGCAGCGAGGCAGAGCCCGGGAGAAGGCGGCCGGCGTGTCCGGGGAAGGAGCGGCGGCGGAGGTTATTGTGTTTGAAGCGGCAGGACGGAGGGGGAGGGGTTACTACCTGCAGCATGGGGCGCGAGCACCAGCGCGTGCGCCGGTGCCATGGTGTGTGAGCACGTGAGCGCGTGCGTGCGTATGAGACGGAGGCTTCCGAGGACTGCTGCTGCTCCTCAGGGTGATTCAAGTAAAAGTCAAGCAAAGGTCCTTTACTGAACCGGGAAAAACACCGGAACTAAGCTCCGTTGGTCACGCTCATGTGTGTTACACCTGCAGTAAAACACGTCACAAAGTGTGCACGCTCAGCCGCTGAGCCAGCATTACCTGTATATAAAAGATGGACATTTTTGCTGCCAAGACAGAAGAGCCCTGTTAGGACGAGAGGGTGGAGTTACAGACACTGATAGGTCTGTGGTACGGTGACCTCACAGCAGCCATGTTATTGGTCACACAGGCTGTATCCCAATTCAGGGTCTGCAGCCTTAAAGGCCGCATTTTAAGGCCGCATTTTAAGGCCGATTACGTCACCGCGACGCAACAAAGGCTGTCCCAATCCAAAGGCTGCTCGAAATGCGGCCCTCAAATGCGTCCTTCATCTCCCTGAATTTTAACGACGTGGCGGTGTAGACTTCG